GAAAGCAAGGCTAACTTCAAAGTTGCATCAGATTGTTCAGAAACTTGTAGAGATGAGTTCTGAAGGTTTTTACCCTCTCTCTACTAGGAATAAGTTTTTCCTTAAGTAAGCACACATACGTGTGGCCAACAGCTTCTTACACTTGTAAGGATATTGCAGTTTTAAGTCATACGCAAACACTCACTTCACTGTGGTCTACAAGCTTTTTAAACTAATCTAAGACAGTGTCATCGTCAGAAGCAACGTCATCTTCCCTGGTTTTTTACTAGCGACACGATACATAAAGCCTCCTACTCTAACAATCTATCAACCCTTTGTTCACTGGTTATCAATCGACATGGAGACTAGCCCCACAAACAAAATTTTAATTTTCAGTTGAATCTGCAAGACAACCCAATCCATCCCTTCAGCTGCCCTGAAGGGACTGGAACACGCAGCAGAGGAACCTGTCCTTCGTATGTAACAGCCTCGAGTTATTTTACCTGCTTATTAGTCATTTACTGTATCTGTCAGTCATTTACTGTAAATCTGTATCTTTATAATTTTACTGTGCTTTTTACAGTTTCACAAACCTATCACCATACCCATTAATATTTCAAATGTAGTTACACACAATTTAGCATCTGAAGACACTAAAGCAGAACTCATCTAATGCTCTTAGATAACCTGGTATTGTCTGGATAACAGTTTCATGTTTCAGAGTACAAATTACAGCACAGATTCAGGAAGGCAGCTTCCCAAAAGCATGGACAAAGGTATGCAACAGCAAACTGAGAAGTCTGAAAATACAGTAGATACATATAGACTAGCAGTAAAGAATAAGAATAGCAGGCCAGAACAAATGGCTATAGAACACGAATAGCCATGACTGCTCACAATAATAAGTTCCATTTCTTCTGTAACCCATACACCTCCAGTGACCTCAAAGTTATTCTCAGAACAAAGAGGAAAAAAATATCACAAATCTGCTGCAGCCATACATCAGTGATTGATTTTTAAGCAGTCTACATTTAGATGATTTTTTGCATCATTTAACTGTTCAAGGCAGAACCTACCCCACTGCATTTTCAAAATGAAAGTATTTCATTCCAAAACTGCATTAAATGCAGGCTTAGACGTACACTAGATCTTAAACTCACCCTAATGCACCTGAAATAGCAGCACAGAGGCCCAATCTGCCCTTCGCCGTGAGGAAAGGCGATTTGTGACAGCAACCTGCACCTATTGCCCTGGAGGACTGCGGGCACAATGCTAACATCGGTTCACCCGAAGCCTGACAAACACAACGCCCAGAAACAGAACAGCCTACCATCAAAGCAAGAACACGTGCAACAATGGCACTCTAACTGCACAGACTGTAGCTGGTACTTACAGTTAGCGGCTCGGCATCATTCATCGCCTCTACTGCAGCTCTATTCTGAACAGCTGGCACGCCACACGGATCCCTTAGGGAAGAAAAACAACCAACATGTAACTGGCTGATTATTTCACACAAACTTCTCTTCTCCCAAAAGAGCCATCAATTACTTCGCCAACATTTACCTCAGGTTGAAAGGCGCTGGACACACCGCTCGCCCCC